ACTGATTTTAAATTTTTTGTTTTTTTACTTTTTATTTTGAAACACAAGAAGTTACAAAATAGTACATAGAGTCCCATGAACCCTTCACTCGGCTTCCTCTCATGGTGACATCTTAGATGACTGTAGTAAAATACCCAAACCGGGAAATTGACATTGGTACAATACCGTTAACTAGACTGCAGGACATCTGATTTTAAAAAGCACACATATTTTTTTGTCATAAAATAATACTTTTAAACACAAATAATATATGTCTTGATATTGGGTGAGGTGGCTGGCAAGGAGTGTATTCTCAAAGCTGTAGCCAGGTGTGATGCTGGATAGGAAACCCCAGCGGGCGGTTTGAAGAGCATGGTCCCACGCTCAGGGGTGTGCCCTAAGAGAAGGAAAGTCCTGTTGGAAGTGGAGTAACATGGGCAGAGGGAAATGGAGACTTGCTGGAAAGTTCAGTGGGGCTTCAGTTGCACAGTTGTGTCTATTCACTCAGAGCCAGGCTGTGGCCACAGAGGAGCTGCCCTCATACCCTCATAATGAGACATCTAGGTCCACTTGATTGGAGAAAAGTGTATATGACACTTGTAGGAAAATAATGATCTTTTTAATAGACTTCATCTTTTAGAGCAGTTTTAGGTTCACAGCAAAATTGAGAGGAAAACATAGAATTCCCGTATACCTCTGCCCCCACACATTCATAACCTCCCCCATTATCAACATTACCAGAATGGTACCTCTGTAACAATTGATGAACCCACATTGACACATCATTATCACCCAGAGTCCATTGTTCATATTAGGGTTCACTCTTGCTGTCGTACAGTCTATGGGTTTGGACAAATGTACAATGACATGTATCCACCATTGTAGTATCATACAGAGTAGTTTCACTGCCCTAAAACTCCTGTATGTTCACCTGTTCATCCCTCCCTCCTTGCTAACCCCTGGCAACCACTGATCTTTTTACCATCTCCAAAATTGTGTCTTTTCCCGAATGTCATAAAGTTGGAATCATACAATAGGTAGCCTTTTCAGACTGGCTTATTTCACTTAGTAATATGCACTTGTTTCCCCATGTCTTTTTATGGCTTGATGGCTCATTTCTTTTTGGCGCTGAATAATATCCCATTGTCTGGATGGACCACAGTTCATTTATCCATCCATCTACTGAAGGACGTCTCGGCTGCTTCCGTGTTTTGGTGATAGTGAATGGAGCTGCTCTAAACCTCCATGTGCAGGTTTTGAATTGGGTTCTCAGCCCGGCGATACGGCATTGTGTTCCCATTCATGTATGAGTGACAAACATTTTATTAAAAAAAAAATCGCCCTCTCCCCTCTCTTTGGATGGGTGGTGAGGTAAGGGTTTATTTCAGTCTTTTGTTTGGAGTCTCACTTCACTTTCTCAGACATGGGATTGTTCACGGGAGCAAATGATGACACTTGGTGTCTAATTAGCATCTTCTGATTGCTCACAGCCTGCCACGGCCTGTTCTCCCTCTCATTCTCTCGCTGGGTCGGAGCGTGGTTTAAATGTTTAAATCTGCCTAGCTGGCACGGGCTCATGGAAATGGGGTTGCTTTCTGCTGTTATAGTACCAGGGAGCAGGGGTAAGGGTTAGAGACATTGGCCAGAGAGGGAACTGGGAACAGAAAAGGTCGTGGAGAAAACCTCTTCCACCATCCTTTCTCTGAGTCTAGACCTAGCTCAAGACTTCTCCTCTAGGAGCACCTCCACCAGATACTGCCGCACAAGAAGGTCTTTCTCTGCTCTTTTCTGCCAAACAGCTCAACCGTTCTGGGTGAGATGATCTGAATCATCTTGTGGTCTCCCCCTTCATCAGGACCGCACTCAGCACCCTGGGGTTAAGCTCTGCCATCAGGAGTCTACTGGGAAATTATCTGCTGTGTCAAGTAGGGGAAAAAAGTTCCTAACTGGCTGTGTTCCTTGACCTCTGACCTAGTTCCTTAACCTCTCTAATCTCTAAACTTCCCTTTACTCACTTAAAACAAGCGGATGACTGGATTATCTGGAATGTCCCTGCTAGCCTCAATAGTGCCTAGAACATGGATCATAGAATCTCCTCTACTACTTGGAGCCACGCTGTTTGTAAGAAGATCATTGAATGAGAGATATTTTTACATTCTCTGAAGCCTTTTCTGAAGGACTGCGTTCCTGATGGCCAGAATGGGGACAGGGCTTTGGTAAGAGCCCTAGATGGTTGGATGAAGATGGGGCCATTAGCAGAACTAGGGAAAGAGGGGGATGTCTAAACCAGTCAATTCTGAACCAGTACGCTCTTGGAATTCGGGGGCAGGTGGGTTGTTTACAAACGGTTCTGCAGTGAGGCAGTTTCATCATCTTATAAGGATGCTATTCTAATGTGCTTGAGGGCTGCAAGCAGGGCACAAATTCCAGCTGCCCCTTCTCTTTATTTTAAAGTGTGGATTTGTCCTTGTCTCCCACGCATTCCCAGTTTGTTTGCACTTAGATATCAGAGGTGGAGGGGAATTAAGTGAACTTCGTTTGCCTGCCCCCCTATCTGGTGCAGGAGATGATGAGGGAGAACTTAGTCTTTGCTGGGCAGCTATGGCAGCCCGAGGACAAGGGACGTGCAAAGGCCGGCTCTGCGTGGCGAGGGTGAATGCTTAGCGGGGATCTCTGAGGAACGTCAGCTGCCTCGGGCCCTCAGAGCTGGACTCGGGTCAGACCCGTTATCTAGGCCGGGAGATTAAAGCGGTGTCTCAGCTGGTGTGGATCTCTCTCCCCCTGAGCTGAACCCTACAGTTGTTTGCAAGCTTAGAGGCTTGCTCTGCCTGTGTGTGCAAAAAAACCCGGTGGGAAAGTAGCAGGCACGCAGGTACACTGGTTCTTCCCGGAGAGGCAAGTTTGCAAGCAATGTAGGGGTGCAGCCGCCCTCACATGCACCGCCGGCACCCCTCCCCGACCCCAGCCACCCCGGGCGGCAACTTTCCCGGCGGCGCAGGCGCTCGCTTGCTGCTCTTTTTCCCTTTGGATCAGCCTGCTCTTATTTCAGGAGTGGAGTGGGTCTCTCCCTGGGGCGTTATAGGGTGTCATGTCTGGCATTTGCTCCCACTGCAGAAAAACAAGTCCAAATGCAATGCACTCGGGTTTCTGAACAGCTGCCCGAGCGCTGAAATCAGACAGTCAGCAAAGCTGTTGGAGAGAGAGTAGGGACTCCGGGGAGGGCGGGGGCAGAAGAGGTGCCCGGAGAGGGGGCGGGGCACGGGGCCGGGTGTCGAGGGTACCCGCCTGGTGGGCGATGCTCGGCACTCTGGGCCTCTGGGCGGGCTGGGGTGCGGGGAAGGGGGGATGCCCGGATTGGGCGGGGTGCCGGGAGTGGGGGTCGGGGCGGGGGAGGTGGCGCCCGCCAGGTGGGCGATGCTAGGCGCCCGCGCCCCTGGGCGGGCTGGGGTGCCCGGAGTGCGGGTCGGAGGGGAGTGGGTAGGGGCACCAGCCCGGTGGGCGACCTGGGCGCTCCCGGCCTCTGCGCTGGCTGGGGCGCAGGGAAGGGGGGTAGGTCTGGGCGAGGCGGGCGGGCGGGGCGCGAGCAGCCGCGCCGGCAGCCAGGGAGCCGGCGCCGTCCCAGCAGAGCCATGCGGGACGTGAGCGACGTGTGGCAGCCTCTGCGCAGCCTACTCCGGCGCAGGGTGGGTTTCAGGGAGCGCCGCCTTCTTCCTTCCAATCACAGCGCAACCTCAGCGTGAGGTATGCACCTCTGCAAGGCAGGGCAGCGCTTCTGTGCTGATGTATCGCGTGCTCAAGTCACATCTGTGTAATGCCACTGTGCAGGCTGCGGTCCCCACCAAAAGCACCCCAGATCTTTACAGGGCGCCCACTGGCTTGACTACCCGACTGTCACATATCGAGAGCTGATGCAAAACTGCGATGACCGGGGGAAGGGGGCAGAAAGGACACATACTCACCAAAAATTGGCGAGGAAGAGATGCAGTGGGGCTGTGCCAGATAGCTGTCACGAATTTTAGGGGTTTTCATAATCAAGGTGCCGCCTCCCAATAGTTATGCCGGGGTTTATAGTCAAGTAATGAATTGCAGGTCGGAATAGGATTTAGTTTTATTTACTCTTCTACTCAGAGAGATAAAGGTATATTGAAAATATTGTAAATGGTGACCTGGTTCCATTTCGGTCCGGCCTCCGGGGCTTTCCCGCCCCCTCCTCGAACCCAGCACCGCAGGCCCCTCAGCAGCTGGTCGCGGAGCCGGGGTTGCATGTCTTGGGGCTGGGTGTTGGGGGAGCGATGTTCAGCACAAGTGAAGGTTTCTAAGGGCTTCAGGAAAGTGGGCGGGGTGAGGACGAAGGACCAGGGAAGCCCCCTCTCCGCGGGTGGCGGGGGTCGTGGTGGGTGAGACTCACCGGTATTATTAGAGAGCAGCTATGGCAAGGAGGGACCTGGAGAACAGTGCCCCACAGGCGCTCTCAGCATCCTCCCTCCAGCTTCCCTCTAGGGTAGCAGAGACGCCCCCTCTCCGTACCCGCTAACCTCCCTCCAACCTTTAGCCCTAAGCCCGGGTCTTCAACCTGTCTGTGTCTGACCCGGAGCGCGTGTTAAGAATGCAGAGTATTGGAGTTCCACTCCAGAGAGGCTGAGTCAGGAGGACCATTTTAACCAGCATCTCAGGTGATTCAGCTGCGGGGATCCACGGACCACGCTGGACGGCGCCGCCCCTCTCCTCCCAGCACGGTTGAGATGATTATTCCGGGAAGCTGTGCCCGTCGTCTCTAGGGGGTGACAGGAAGAGGCTCACGGAGACCTTCAGCAAGGGCTAGGTTTAGGGCGTCATCAGAGGGACTGCAGGAGCAGGGCGCGCTGCTGTCGCCGGCCTGCAGGGGGCGCCCCCAGGCCACCTCCTGGCTTGCCCACCCCCTCTCCCCACGTGCAAGGGGGCTGAAACCCGAGGAATGCGTCCCCGCCCCGAGGCTGACGTGTGCGGCTGCGTCGCTGCGGGCCGCGACTCTTAAAAGCACGGGCGGAGCGCCGGGCATCCTAGCAGAGCTGGAGAGGAGGCGAGCGGGAGGAGAGGGCGACGAACTCTAGCTGGCGCATAGGGACCGCGGCTGTCACTGCGCTCCGAGCACCCCGGGGGCTTCCCGAGTGGACGAGCCGGCCTCGCGGGAACTGCGGGTGCAGCCCCAGCCCCCTGCCCCTCTCGCAGCGCTCGTGGAGCCTCACGCCCCGGGCGAGCGTTCGTGATTTAGCACAAAGCACGTTTCCAAACAGCAGCGCTAGGGAGAGCGCCCGGGCCGCGCTCCCGAGTACGCATCCCCTCTTCCCCTTTGTTTCGGGCGTCGACAGGCTGCTCTCCTCCCCAAGTCTGAATTCTTCGCGAGGGGCGGAGGGCCGCCGAGGCTGGGCTGTGAAGATGCCCCTGGAGCTGACTCAGAGCCGGGTGCAGAAGATCTGGATCCCCGTCGACCACCGCCCCTCGCTGCCCAGATGTGAGTGCAGATGTGAGCGGGCTGCAGGGAGGGGCGCGCCGCGTGGAGAGCGAGGCCATTGTGTGGCCGGCCCCGGCGGGGCGCTTTTGTGCCAGCTCCCCTCCTCCGCGCTCTCG